AATAAAGGGTATGACAACAAACATTTGGATGTGAATTTGCTGAGTGGGAGGGAGGTCAAGTTTGAGAAGAAGGTGCCAAAAATAAGCCTGCTTTTCAAAACCTTATTTAGAAATAGACAAGTTCATTACCTCATGTGGGAAAGGAGGAAAATGTTACAAATGGCCAAGTGTCCCCATGCTGAGTCAGAGAGAGGAGAAGCCAACCATTCATGGTCTAGACAAGCCCGGTTAGAGCCAAGGTCATGAGACATGGGGCATGGGGCATGTGGCGCAAAGCACTGCTTGGGGTCACACGACAGGGCCTGGTGAGCAGACTCATCTTGACAAGACTGTCAAACCCCAGTTCTTCACACCCTCCCTGAGAAGGACATGTGAGAGACCACATTCCTGGGCTGTCTCTGCGTCGCTCTGATAGGACCAGAGTCAAGACTTCGCAGCGAGAAACTGCATTCGGGTGACTGTGTTAAAATCATGCTAATGATCCAAATCTCAGCCTCCCAAGGACACATATTCACCGTAAGAGGGGAGAATGGGGAAGTCCAAAGGGCCAGCGGCCGCTCTACCCAGTCACTGCCCAGCCGCTCTACCCAGTCACTGCCCGGGCCCAGGAAAAAGGGACGGAACGGGGGATTCGATCCCTCTCTGCGTGCTCAGGCAGTGTGTGCTCCTGCACGGCGGCTCCTCGAGAAGCACTGGCCACTCCTGGCAGCTCCTCAGCTCTTCTGCATCTCCTGCCCCACTCCCCGGGAGAAGCTTCTGGAGTGCTCAGCTAACCACCCCACTTGGAAAGCAAAAACCTCCCCTAGCGCCTGAACTGACAGCCAACAAGAACCCAAAACATGAGGACATAGACTACGTAACTGCTGTCCAGAGGGGAAAAGCCACAGAATCATCTGATGCTTCTGGTTTCCAAGGAAAAGCACAGAGCCAGTAGAACAGGCCATCCTTCAGAATATTTCTAGCCACGGCGCTCAGCGTTTCCCGAGAACGTTTCCAGTGCCTGCCTTTATATGATTACACTGGTGTTACAAAAATCCTCCCTGCAACCTACAGAGCATAAAGATGTTTCGGAGCAGACACGCCTCCCACAGCACTCCCATCACAAAGCCGTAACCCACACACACGGGTCAGAGTGCGGTGGCCCACAGGTGATTATTCTGCTGCAGAATGAATTAAAAAACTATGAAATCAGCAATCTCGGTTGGCATCCATTTTGAAACAAAACATGTTTTCATGTGCCGACACCCAAGGCAACTTGACATTTTAGAGATCAGACATCATGCCTGTTTTCTGTGCCTATTAAGGGGACGTGCAATGTAAAGTCGGGGGTTTGGGGAGACAATGCCTCCTCTAATTCACAGCAGTAAACACCTGTTTTCTGTACTCCGCATGAGGAAGAAAGGCATCCACAGGCAGAGATCCACAATTAAATCTTTTATACCCAGGATTCCTCTAACAGTAAACACGGAGAAGCAGAAGAAAGGAGCGGTGAATAAGAACTCTGTGCTTATGAGTTATTCCAAAAGTAGAGACTTGACTTTCCAAAGAAGCGAATATTAGTAAATTAACTAGAATGAGTGTATTAGATTAACTAGGAAAAAAAAAAAAAAACCAACACAGGCAGAAGTTTAAGGCCATAGTATGTGATGTGAGTGTCGATATAGGTTTAATGAGCTCTCAAGGAGACTGCTACTGTGCTAGCCTGTAGCCATGGGTAAAACAAAGTCATGTACCCGGTAAAGTTTTAAGAGTCAAAGAAAACTGATAAAGGGCACATACAGAAAGCTGACTATGAAGTATTGCTTGGGTACTACCAATTTAGAAATTACAGTGGACTAGGTATTTGAAGGGCCCATCTGCTATGCTGGAATTAGGTTCTGAATAAATTAATTTTAGGAATACTTTCTAGTACATTGGCTAGCTCCAGCTAGAGAAACAAACACCAGGAAGACATGGCAGGGACAGCACACTGAAACCTGACCAAAGAAGAGAGCAGCAGTTGCCGTGGAGGCCAGGTGAATACCAGCAACGGGATGGGGCATCCAGACCCTCCGCTTTCTGCAGGGACAGAAAACCCAACCAGAGACCAGGATTCCCAAAGGAAATGAACATGGTCCTGGCTCTGTAGCACCCTCCTGGCTCCGAGGACAAACACACATAAATTTCAACAAGACCTCAGGATTCTGCTATATAATTATCAAACAAATATGAGCACATAATCAAAGCTCACCATGGATACTAGGAAACAAGCCACAAACACAGATTTATTGGCATTATCCGATGCAGAATATGGAACAACTCTGTTTGGTGTTGCTTACAGATATGAAAGATGGAGGTGGAAAAAAAATGAGCAAGCAAAAAAGAGACCACTAAATATATTCAGCAGATTGGAAGCAGAAATTGAGCTTTTCAAGATGAAGAAATAGGGGGCCTGGGTGGCTCAGGTGGTTAAGCATCTGCCTTCGGCTCAGGTCATGATCCCAGCCGTCCTGGGATCGAGCCCCACATCAGGCTCCCTGCTCAGTGGGTAGCATGCTTCTCCCTCTCACTCTGCTCATGCTCTCTAATAAATTACTTTTTAAAAGTATTAAGAAATATAATCATTGGAATTAAAAACTCAAAGGATGGGTTAAATAAAAAATTCAACACCACTGAAGAGAAAAGTACTGAACTGGAAGCTAAATCTTATGAAATTACCTAGAATCAAACAGAGAGAAAGGACAGGGAAGAAAATACCAATTACAAAGTAAAAGACACAGAGAAGAAAAAGAGAAGCTCTAACATCTACTTATCAAAACCAGAAGGAGCAAATAGAGAGAGGGGCGAGAGACAGCATTCAGAGCATTAATAGCTGGGAAATTTTCAGAGCCAATGAAAGGTATGAATCTATAGATACACAACACACAACAAATACAAACAGTATAAAAACCAGAAAGCCACACACAGACACAGGGCAGGGAGACTGCGGGGACCCGATGACAAGTAAGTGATCTCAAAATAAGGCAAGCCATTTACCAAAGAGTGACGATGAAAGACCTACTGTGGTTTCCCAAGAGCAACAACAAAAGCCGTAGGACGATGAGCAGTATGTTCACGATGCTGCCAGACAGTGGCTGTCAGCTAAGAACTGGGACAGCAACATGAACACATGTTCACATAAACCAAAGTCGAGAGAAGCTATGACCTAGCGATTCTGAGGGAAGACAATTCTGAAGGAGGCACCTCTCACCAGGGGAAAGGTACAGGATGAAAGAAGGGAAGAGACGCAAGACATGGTGGACATATGAAATTAAACATAGTGTCTCTAACGGGTAACCATAGTCTGACGTGTCGGGCAAAACACAGAACTGAAACACAGAAAGGAAGGCATGAGAACAGAAGGAGACACTGTTCACTAGGTGTCCTACGAGTTTCCTACTATTCTGAGAGGGGATGGCAACACCTTAACTACGGATTGACTTCAAAACCGTGAAGCATGCACAGTGTACTTTCAGGGTAATCACAGAAGGACAGAAATGGAATGCATTCCAAACCCGCAGAGAAAAGAACACTGAATGAGAACACAAATCAACAAAAACTTCAATCAATCAAAAAAAAAAAGATTAGCAATGAAAATGAACCAAACACATATAGTTAAGAGAGTATTAGACAGTATTTCAAAAAAAAAAAAAAACCAGAAACGAAGAAAAGCGCCAGTAGTCATACAATAAAAGACTGAAAATTTTGTCTTACATTAAAATCACAAACTCTGTTCTCCAAAGTATACTAAAAAGAAAAATGCTCAACCTCACTATTAATCAGGAAAATGCAAATTAAGACCAAGTGATATACTATCTTATACCCACTACACTGGCAACAAAATACCCAATTTTGGAAGGAAGTGGAGCAACAGATAAAAATGTGATAGATTTTTTTAGAAGATTTTATTTATTTATTTTTGTGAGAGAGAGAACACAAGCCGGGGGCAGGGGGGCGGTGCAGAGGGAGAAGCAGGCTCCCCACTGATCAGGGAGCCCGACATGGGGCTTGATCCCAGGACCCCGGCCTCATGACCTGAGCCGAAGGCAGACACTTCACCAACTGAGCCCCCCTGGTTCACATGCAACAAGTGAATGGGAACAACACAACTGAGTAAATGTAACCTGCAGAATGCTATGTGCAATATACCCTTCTTACCCAGCCTGAAAACAAACAACACAAAGCACTCTCCTGTTTGCATATGTACACAGAGATGGGAATTGTGTTTCAGGATGCAAAGCAACCAGCACCAGGAAGAGCGCAGTCCCATGCAGGGGATTTTCACTCTCGGTCAAGGCTGTTTCTCAACACAAGCAATGGTGTGCTGGTCTGGTTCTGGAGCAAACCCTTCACGTCATCCAGGCCAGCAGGCCCAATGACACAGCCCCAGGCTGTCCAAGTGCAGAGCAGAGCACACGCTGGGTAGCCACAATCTTCCCAGACAGAGAGCCTCCATCACAACCAATTCCAGAATACAGGAAATGTCCTGGCCCCAAATGGCACCCTAGGCCCCCTGCCCCTGGAACCTCCCCTCATAATTTCTTCTACAAACAATTAAATTACGATGTATAGTTTTGGTTAAAGGTGAAAAATGGTGTAGACTCAGGAGAGATTTTCCTGAATCCTGAATCCATATGGCCCTTTTTCCTTTTAAATGTCCTCATTGATTATGTGACTTGAGAGCTCACAACGCCCTTTCTGTCCTCTTCAGCGACCCTGGCAGAGGCTACTGTGCGGGTCCTTCGTTTCCCACACGTCTACACCCTGGCCTGTGCTGCCTTCCCAGTCCAATCCTGTCTCCTTCCTTCCCAACCAGACTTGGCCTTCCCTGGGCTGATGTAGAGCTGGGGCCCCTCGAAGGCCTGGAGGCCCCCCATGCAGCAGAGCCTCATGTGCAATCACAGAACAGAGCAAGAGTGACTCTGGGGAACTTCGGATCCATGACGCGTCTGCAAACGGATAAAAGGCGGAGTCTGACTTACGTGCTGTCTTTCATACGCTCTCTGCTATGCTCCTATTTCACTGCTCTCAAAATTCAGAAGATCTATAGCTCTTTGGTCACTGGAGCTTTGCCTGGAATGATAAGAGCAGGAAATGAGAAAGGAGGCAACTAGAAGGAACCGAAGCGCCCACTGGGGAAGGAAACTCTCTTGTGCCATCGTGCCTGACATTTAAAAGGGAAAAGGGCCACCGGAAGCAAAGAAAATCTCCAGCAACCTCCGGTCAAAGCCATTTTTCGTCGTTAACCAAAACTATTAATAGTAATTTTTTTTTAAAGATTTTATTTATTCATTTGACAGAGAGAGACCCAGTGAGAAAGGGAACACAGCAGGAGGAGTGGGAGAGGGAGAAGCAGGCTTCCCGCGGAGCAGGGAGCCGGATCCGGGGCTCGATCCCAGGAGCCTGGGACCATGCCCTGAGCCGAAGGCAGACGCTTAACGGCTGAGCCACCCAGGCGCCCCTATTAATAGTAATTTAATGTTTTTAGAAAAAAATCGTCGTTATTTACAAAGACCTTTCACACACACTTTTTTTAAATTTGAGCCACGGATTTTGAGAACAGGCAAGTATCAATTTAAATGCAGGAGCTGACGTTCCCAAAGGTTAGGGAACTTTCCCACAACCGCTCATCCAGTGAGTACCATAGAGGAACGAGAACCACCTTGACCATTCCAACCCTCTTCCATGACCCCAAATCCTAACAGGATGGTTTCAACCTGAAAAGCAGTATTATTATTTCTCCTTGCACTGCATATACTTTCTCAGCCAACAGACACAGAAATGGCTTTGCCCATTGAGTGGCAGAGTGACGGTCATAGGATTAAATGTTTATTTACCACAGACAACGCAGAAGGTAGAACATGCACACCAGGATAGTTAAGAAATGCACGTATCTTGTCCACACACCCTCCTTTTCTCTTTAAGTCAGTTATAACTGCTGGGCTGCTTCTTTTCTTTTTAACTTTTTATTTGGAAATAAGTTCGAGCTTACAGAAAAGTCACGCAACGGTAACAGTACAAAGAACGCCAAGCACACCTCACTCAGTTGCCCCTACCACCACCCAGCAGCCACGGACCTGACCACTCACTGGCTGCAGACTCTCTACACATACACACAGCGTCGATTCTGAGCCGGTGGAGGTACGTGCCAGACCTCGTGGCGCTTCACCTCTAAACACTTCAGAATGGGGATATCCCCAGATGGCAGTAAACCCAGTACTTTACCGCCATCTTCAATTAACCCCACGATGCACTTCATGGAGCCTCTTTCCCCCAATTCAGGATCCAGTCCAGGGGCAGGCATATAGCACTTAACTGCATTATTCCGAAACACACAGCTTGCTTTGGTCTTCCGTGGCCTTTGCAATTCAGAATAGCGTCCCCTATCTCTTTTGTATTAATAAAGCATTTCTGTTTTGCCTTGTCTGATGTTTCCTCATGATTCAATTCAGCCAGAAACCACCGAGGTGATGTGTTCTTCTCCAGCGGTCTCATCTGAAGGTGCGGGAGGCACACCTGCCCCTCCTTGGTTGCCCAGGCCAAGTGCTATCCAATTCCTCTGGTAAAAAATTATTTTTTTCTCTTGAAGCTAATAAGTCATCAGGGAGGAGATACTGCAAGACCACGAAAAGACCTTGTCCCTCATCAAAATGTCCCCTAGGTTTCACATCCATCACCGACCTGTGCGGGCCACTGCCCCTCCGACACCCTCCACATTACCCTTCATTACTCGGCACCGTATTGTTTGCTCACCTCTTTGTCCATTTGTGGCCACACTGGAAGTTCTAGTTTTTCAATAATTGATCATGTTTATCCTGCCGCGTATGATTTATCTCTGTACTACACCGTCTTGGTGCTCAGCCTACCTCAGATCTAGCCAGCGGGCACCCCCTTGAACCTAGCTCCTTTATCTGTGCAGCGCGCCCCCCCACCGTTGTCTTATTTTCCTAACTTTTCTTTCCTTCCTTTCTGGCATTAAAAGAGCTGGGTTCCCGTTGTGCTTGCCCTGTCTCTGCCCTGCACGCAGTCACTCCTCCAGAGTCCTGGCTCCTGGTGGGGAGGAGGGCGTAGGCACTGGCTGCTTCCCCTGTCGGCGGTTCGGCTCACGGACGAGCCACATCTCCTGCTTCTTCGCCATCGTAAGGTGGGCAGTTAGAGGGGGTTCCATTTGATCCAGAGGGCAGCTAAGTCATCAGCAGACCGGCTCAGTCCTGGGAGGCTTGGTGGAGACGGGGATGTTTGAGCCGTGCCCTCCCAGGCTCTACCCCCACGGGAGGGCCAGCCCAGCACCCGCAGCTCGCCTTTCCCTCTCCATGGTTTCAACATTCAAGGATGCTTCAGGAACACGGGCTGCTCTAATGGAAGAGGGAAGAATCAAGACACTGAGCATACAGTGAAGGCTCTTTATTTAAACATTTCAAAGAAACCCCCCTGCTAAGGACGTTTCTTAGAAGTGCATGTGTTTACTTGCACTGCAACACGGTGGCGGGAGAGATGCTCTCTAGCCGTCCAGCAGACTCTGAACAAAATGCCAGGGAAATGGCTCTATTCCTTCCAGGAGGCTGACCGTCACTTCAGATGCCAGTTGGCTGTCACTCGGCCATGAATCGACACTTACTTCCACAACCCTTCCTCCAGGGGCATACCAAACCACTACAGGCCACCAAAGAAAGAAAACGTAGTTGCTACTCTTCGTTCTTCTTGTTTACGTGCATGTACTCAGGGGTGGGGAGAAGAGTCCTCTCACGAGAAATCACCTCCTGGTGCACTTACATTCCTCCTCCTAACCACTGATGAGAAAATCATAAGGAGCAAAACAGTCAAAAAAGGGGCGCCTGCGTGGCTCAGTCGGTTAAGCATATGCCTTCGGCTCAGGTCATGATCTCAGGGTCCTGGGATCGAGTCCCGCATCAGGCTCCCAGCTCAGCAGGGAGTCTGCTTCTCCCTCTCCCTCTGCCCAATCCCTGCTTGTATGCACTCTCTCTCTCAAATAAATAAATAAAATCTTCAAAACAAAATAGTCAAAAGAAAAAGAAAAGAAAAAAAGAAACAACTCTGCAACCCCGGACACAAAGTTAATCAAAAAGGTAATTGTCAAACAAGAGCAGTATTTTTATCACATACAGGAGAAGAGAGGAAAATGGAGAACAGGCCTTGCCCTGCCCAAACCAGGAGCTCTGTGCCCACAGCACACACATGCGCACAACACCCTCCTCCTACTTCTCGAGCAGACTTTCTCCTTACTAGAAATCCACACCGCAGCCCACCTAATCCAATTTCGCAAAAGGAACACGCCCGCCAAAGCTTGGCGGGTCCCACCCGGCTGCCTCGGGCTCTGCCTCGGGCCGCCGAGAACTTGCAGGCAAGCCCTGTTACACATGCCAACACACCGTGTACCTGTCCCCTCGCACTCGCGCTCTCCAGATGGACCTGTCCCATCAGGACTCTCAGACCTTAATTCTGCCTCCCCGAGTCAGCAGGTGCCCAGCACCCTGATCAACCTGACCGTCTGCCCCCCACTTCCCGGAAGCCTCCACGATCTGCCCCCCGCCCAGCTTTGCACACATGTCCCAATGCTGTCCACCCGTCACAGCGAACACCCTGCAGCCATCGCCCTTCACGGGACACCCTGCCCTCCCTTTCTTCTCTTGACTAACTCACGGAGGCTTGACAACCTTGGGGAATTTTTCGTGATCCCCATTCAAAGCTGAGTGAGTGCCCCAAACTTCCTACTCTCAGAGCGCCTGTGCTCACCTTTAAATAAACAGCCAACAACTTGCTGAGCGCTGATGACGTGCTAAGCTACAGGCACCTACCACGTGTCACGTCACTGAGGGCCCACACTAGGTCCGGAAGCGGGGCGGGGGGGGGGGGGACGGTGCTCTTCCTAGGGATAAACAAATGGTGTGCCGGTTCAAAGATTAAAAGTACCTCTCAGGAGGTAGAATCTGGAATTCTGTAGAAGGAAGTCAAGCCCCTTCTCAAGAAGTTCTTACACTGTTTAACCAACAGGCTCCTCCACTAAGGGACACATCCGTTCCGACACACGTGGCGCAAGCGAGGATCAGTGAAGAGGCAAACACCCATCCACTGGACTCCACCGGGGCCCCCATGTCGCTGAGCCAATGCCCAGCTAGCCGCAGACTGTGGACCTGAGCTGAGGGAGGAGCAGGGGCAGGAAAGCCGAGGACAGTCTCGTGAAGAGTGTGTCACAGAGGAGGAGTATTTCAGGACAACTCGGTCACTTGCCCAGGTCCCCTTCTTCAGGCTGCAGACCCTGACTATGCCATCATAAATACCGGCCAGGCTCAAAGTGATCTAAGGGCTCTACCCTCCCTGGGGAAAGTGTTTTTAAAAAAAGGGAAAGGATCAAAAGGAGAAGTTGTAGAGCGCCCTGAAACCTAACTCTAAGTGTGAAAGTCACAGGGCACGTTTAACCTAGGGAAGAGGAAGCAAGGGAGGGGCCACGGTGGGACATCACATTAAGCACCACCCGGCCAAGAGCAACGGACAGCATTTTTCCAATCCTGCCAAAGACAGAGCAGAGCAAACAGTTTTAACCTATAGTATGAGAATTTGGCTTCAATATGAAGATTTTCCCCAAAGCAAGAATTTTTAACTAAGGAATATGGAGTCTGTGCCCCATGACATGACCACTCTTCAATTACCAGCATGCAGAGCTCCCATATAGGTGCTCAAACAGCGTTGGGATCCATGATTCCGCCTCACGGAAGCTGCGATCGTACAGACAACACAGTGTTCATGGAGTGCTCTACTGTAAGCTAGAAGTCACCCGGGGGACCTGGGGGGAGCAGGCCCAGCTCGGCTATAGGATTCACACCCTGCTTCCCCTGGTTCAAAGTCCAATATCTTCACTACAGGCATTAGATTAAAACGCATGCAAACTTAACTATCTGTAAAATGGGACAATACCTGCCTCGTGAGGCTCCTGGAAGGATTCCGTAAGTTAATCCTCCAACATCTAGCCTGTGCTTATCACAAAGCAAGCACTCTGCTTCTATTGAAGCCGAGATAGCCTATTTCAATGAGTCCAATTTAACCTCAAGATGAAA